GAGACACTCTCCCAGACCTGCGGGGTGCCCCCCAATGAGCATAGCCTTGCTATTGAAAAAGGCCGCCGTAGGCAGACCTGGCTCTCAAGAGAAACCTCCTGCCAAATGTATGACCATATTAGAGACACATACTTCCTTTAGATTACACAGACCCACAAAGAATTAGAAAACCAACCCCATTTTGATAAACTCCCATATCTACTGGGTGAAAAACCACAGTGTGCCATCACAGCTGCAAGATTTGTGACCTGTTGCCACAAGAAAAGGGCAACCAGTGAAGAACAAACACCATTGTAAATACAACCCATATTTATGTTTATTTATTTTCCCTTTCATACTTCAACTATTTGCACATCATTACAACACTCTACATAGCCATAATATAACATTTTAAATGGCTCTATAACATTAAATGGCTCTATTCTTTTGGGAGTGTAATCTTTACTGTTAATTTCTGATTGTTTATTTCACTTTTGTTCATTATCTCAGTCACATACGTTTCCCATGCCTATAAAGCCCTTTGAATTGAATTGACAGATATACACTTTTCGACATAATAATAATTGGATTTGATATACAGCATTAATAATAATTTGGCAAAAAAATGTGTCGAGATGTTAAAAATTGGTTTGAAAGGTGTATAGAGAGAGAGAGAGGGGGAGGTGTTTGTACCTGGTTTCCAGAGCGTTCACAGAAGTGTGTGAAGTAGAACCCGGCCCGTGAGTCCACATGTAGGGCCTGCAACATCCTCTCCATCCTCCTGTCCCCTAGAACAGGACGACTGCTGCTTCTGCTGCTGGCAGAACCTGTCTGACATCACACACGTGTAATAATAATAATAATAGTTTATTCAACTTTATACAGCGCTTTTCATCAAATATAGACATCTCAAAGCGCTTGTCTCAACTCTCTGTCGGTCACACCTAATACCTGTGTGTGTCCTGGTGTGGGGGTTCTGTCCCTGGGTAGAGAGGTGTCTGGGCAGATGGTGGGTCTAGGTATACAGGTGAGAGGGTGCAGGGTGGTGTAACGAGGGTTAGGGTCGACACCAGAGGGATAGCATAGCGGTCTCTTCCTCCACAGTGACAGTCTGAGAGGATCTGCTGCTCTCTGACTCAGCCTGAACCTTGGGCCCCTGAGACCCACAACCAGTACACACCACAACAGGAAAACATTCATACCAATACACACTCATAAGCTCCACCACATACCTTTATTCACAAACAAACAACGTTTGGATCCTGCCAGGATCTTGGTCAGGTCATTGATCTTGCCAGGATCTTGGTCAGGTCATGGATCCTGCCAGGATCTTGGTCAGGTCATTGATCCTGCCAGGATATTCGTCAGGTCATTGATCCTGCCAGGATCTTCGTCAGGTCATGGATCCTGCCAGGATCTTCGTCAGGTCATGGATCCTGCCAGGATCTTGGTCAGGTCATGGATTCTGCCAGGATATTGGTCAGGTCATGGATCCTGCCAGGATATGGTCAGGTCAGGATCCTGCCAGGATCTTGGTCAGGTCATTGATCCTGCCAGGATCTTGGTCAGATCATTGATCCTGCCAGGATATTCGTCAGGTAATGGATCCTGCCAGGATATTGGTCAGGTCATGGATCCTGCCAGGATCTTGGTCAGGTCATTGATCTGCCAGGATATTCGTCAGTCATTGATCCTGCCAGGATCTTCGTCAGGTCATGGATCCTGCCAGGATCTTCGTCAGGTCATGGATCCTGCCAGGATCTTGGTCAGGTCATGGATTCTGCCAGGATATTGGTCAGGTCATGGATCCTGCCAGGATATTGGTCAGGTCATGGATCCTGCCAGGATCTTGGTCAGGTCATTGATCCTGCCAGGATCTTGGTCAGATCATGATCCTGCAGGAATTCGTCAGGTAATGGATCCTGCCAGGATCTTGGTCAGGTCATGGATCCTGCCAGGATCTTGGTCAGGTCATGGATCCTGCCAGGATTTCGTCAGGTCATGGATCCTGCCAGGATCTTCGTCAGGTCATGGATCCTGCCAGGATCTTCGTCAGGTCATGGATCCTGCCAGGATCTTGGTCAGGTCATGGATTCTGCCAGGATATTGGTCAGGTCATGGATCCTGCCAGGATATTGGTCAGGTCATGGATCCTGCCAGGATCTTGGTCAGGTCATTGATCCTGCCAGGATCTTGGTCAGATCATTGATCCTGCCAGGATATTCGTCAGGTAATGGATCCTGCCAGGATCTTGGTCAGATCATGGATCTGCCAGGATATTGGTCAGGTCATGGATCCTGCCAGGATCTTCGTCAGGTCATGGATCCTGCCAGGATCTTCGTCAGGTCATGGATCCTGCCAGGATCTTCGTCAGGTCATGGATCCTGCCTGGATCTTGGTCAGATCATGGATCCTGCCAGGATCTTGGTCAGGTCATGGATCCTGCCAGGATCTTGGTCAGGTCATGGATCCTGCCAGGATCTTGGTCAGGTCATGGATCCTGCCAGGATCTTGGTCAGGTCATGGATCCTGCCAGGATCTTGGTCAGGTCATGGATCCTGCCAGGATCTTGGTCAGATCATGGATCCTGCCAGGATATTCGTCAGGTCATGGATCCTGCCAGGATATTGGTCAGGTCATGGATCCTGCCAGGATCTTGGTCAGGTCATGGATCCTGCCAGGATCTTGGTCAGGTCATTGATCCTGCCAGGATCTTGGTCAGATCATGGATCCTGCCAGGATCTTGGTCAGGTCATGAATCCTGGTCAGGTCATGGATCCTGCCAGGATCTTGGTCAGGTCATGGATCCTGCCAGGATTTTGGTCAGGTCATGGACCCTGCCAGGATCTTGGTCAGGTCATGGATCCTGCCAGGATCTTGGTCAGATCATTGATCCTGCCAGGATATTCGTCAGGTCATGGATCCTGCCAGGATATTCGTCAGGTCATGGATCCTGCCAGGATCTTGGTCAGGTCATGGATCCTGCCAGGATCTTGGTCAGGTCATGGATCCTACCAGGATCTTCGTCAGGTCATGGATCCTGCCAGGATCTTGGTCAGGTCATGGATCCTGCCAGGATCTTGGTCAGGTCATGGATCCTGCCAGGATCTTTGTCAGGTCATGGATCCTGCCAGGATCTTGGTCAGGTCATTGATCCTGCCAGGATCTTGGTCAGGTCATGGATTCTGCCAGGATATTGGTCAGGTCATGGATCCTGCCAGGATCTTCGTCAGGTCTTGGATCCTGGCAGGATCTTTGTCAGGTCATGGATCCAGCCAGGATCTTGGTCAGGTCATTGTACCAGAAGTGTACTTTCACAGGGGGGACAAACATGCATTTTCAGAATGTGGAGGGGACATGTCCCCCCCGTCCCCTGTGAAAGTTGTGCCCCTGCTGCTATAAAATACAGGGACTATTGGATCCTGTAAACAACAGATTGCATGGTACGGACCAGTGGTTTTCAAACCTTTCCACTAGGACCCCCAGACGTTTAACAAATGTCACCTAATCAAATAATAATAATAATAATATGCCATTTAGCAGACGCTTTTATCCCAAGCGACTTACAGTCACGTGTGCATACATGTTTGTGTATGGGTGGTCCCGGGGATCGAACCCACTACCTTGGCGTTACAAGCGCCGTGCTCTACCAGCTGAGCTAGTTGGCTAGTTGCCTAAAATCGAATGTAATTAGTGTGTTCAGCAGTAGTTATATAGGATGAGCCATGACTAGAATACAGTATATACATGTACATATGAAGTGGGTAAAACAGTATATAAACATTATTACAATGTTAAATCGTGTGTGCTAGCTCTGGAATAGTTCAAATACATGGAACGTCTGGGGGTTTGAAAACCCCTGGTTTGGACGACCTTGTCAGCGAGTCTCCTCACCAGTAGCAGAGCAGTGCCTCAGTGAGGCGGGGCTGTGCTCTCTGCAGTCTGTCCTCTCTCCAGCAGGGGGAGGTAGAGAGACCCAGTCTGGTCAACAGCTCACCATTCAGACTGCTCTGGCCACTGGTCAACAGGTAGCAGCTACGCATCTGGACCAAATGCCTGTCACAATTAATCAATCAGTCAATCACGTCACTGGTTAAGAGGAAGGCTCATTGGCATCTCAGGTTCTATACTTCAATGATGGGTTTAGGTTAGGGTTTAGGTTAGGGTTTAGGTTAGGGTTTAGGTTTAGTTTAAGAGTCAGAGTTAAGGTTAAGGTTAGGGTTACGGTTAATGGTTCGGATTTAGGGGTTCAGGTTAGGGTTCGGGTCAGGATTAAGGTGAAGGTTAGGAGTTGTGGGTTAAAGGCCCAGTGCAGTCAAAAATGTGATTTTCCTGTGTTTTATATATATTTCCACACTATGAGGTTGGAATAATACTGTGAAATTGTGAAAATTATGATAATACCCTTTTAGTGTAAGAGCTTTGACATTTCTGCCTGTTTTGGTGGGATGGAGTTTTGGCCTTCCATGGTGACATCACCAGGCGGTAAATTAGTTAATTAGTTAATAGAACAATAAGAAAGAGAGTTCCAAACCTCTCTGCCAATAACAGAACATTTTCTGTTGTCCCCTCCCTACTAAGACCACTCCTAGACAGTCATAGCAACATTTTTGTTTGAGAAATTGCCTTTTGCTAAGAAGCTATTTTTGTTTCATTTGGACCATTTTAATCACAGTAAGGTACTTCATTGTCACCCAGAAAAGATTTGATATTGAGATCAAAACTGCTGCATTGGACCTTTATGGAAATACTGAATGTGTATATGAATACCTGTTTTTCCTCCTACCGTCCTGTAGGGTCTTCAGCCTCTCTATATCCATCCACAGACGCAACAGCTTCTCTCCTGGTGTTCCCTTTAAGAACTCCTTAAACTCACCCAAGGCCCTGTCTCAGACGCAACAGCTTCTCTCCTGGTGTTCCCTTTAAGAACTCCTTAAACTCACCAAGGCCCTGTCTATCACCATGGATACTACCATAGCCATCATAGAAGCTAAGGTCAGGGTCATCCTCTCTGTGGGGCCTCACCCTCTCTGCTCCTCCAGTCTGCTGTGGCTGATGGCTGGACCTCCCTCACAGGGGCTCTCTGTGTGGGGACCACCTGTCCTCTCTGTCCCACTGCTACGTCTGCTCCCCATATGTGACCTTGCTCTGTCCCATGGTGACCTGTCTGTCTCTCTGTCCCCATGGTGACCTGTCTGTCGTCCGTCTCTGTCCCCATGGTGACCTGTCTGTCGTCCGTCTCTGTCCCCATGGTGACCTGTCTGTCGTCCGTCTCTGTCCCCATGGTGACCTGTCTGTCGTCCGTCTCTGTCCCCATGGTGACCTGTCTGTCGTCCGTCTCTGTCCCCATGGTGACCTGTCTGTCGTCCATCTCTGTCCCCATGGTGACCTTCTGTCGTCCTTCCCCATGGTCCTGTCTGTCGCCATCTCTGTCCCATGGTGATCTGTCTGTGTCCGTCTCTGTCCCCATGGTGACCTGTCTGTCGTCCATCTCTGTCCCCATGGGGGACCTGTCTCTGTCCATCTCTGTCCCCATGGTGACCTGTCTTCGTCCATCTCTGTCCCCATGGGACCTGTCTGTCGTCCGTCTCTGTCCCCATGGTGACCTGTCTGTCGTCCGTCTCTGTCCCCACGGTGACCTGTCTGTCATCCATCTCTGTCCCCATGGTGACCTGTCTGTCGTCCATCTCTGTCCCCATGGTTACCTGTCTGTCGTCCATCTCTGTCCCCATGGTGACCTGTCTGTCGTCCGTCTCTGTCCCCATGGTGACCTGTCTGTCGTCCATCTCTGTCCCCATGGTGACCTGTCTGTCGTCCATCTCTGTCCCATGGTGACCTGTCTGTCGTCCGTCTCTGTCCCCATGGTGACTGTCTGTCGTCCATCTCTGTCCCCATGGTTACCTGTCTGTCGTCCATCTCTGTCACCCATGGTGACCTGTCTGTCCGTCCGTCTCTGTCCCCATGGTGACCTGTCTGTCGTCCATCTCTGTCCCCACGGTGACCTGTCTGTCGTCCGTCTCTGCCCCCATGGTGACCTGTCTGTCGTCCATCTCTGTCCCCATGGTGACCTGTCTGTCGTCCATCTCTGTCACCATGGTGACCTGTCTGTCGTCCATCTCTGTCCCCATGGTGACCTGTCTGTCGTCCATCTCTGTCCCCATGGTGACCTGTCTCTTGTCCATCTCTGTCCCCATGGTGACCTGTCTGTCGTCCATCTCTGTCCCCATGGTGACCTGTCTGTCGTCCATCTCTGTCCCCATGGTGACCTGTCTGTCGTCCATCTCTGTCTCCACATCTCTCAGTATCCGCTCCATCAGACTGACAGCAAGCTGTTCTACTGGACTATAACAGGAGGGATTCTGGGGGTTGGGGTCCCCATTACCCTGATCTGTAGTTCCTGCCTCTGTCTCTGTGAGGTAGACTCTCATCTCCTGCTTTGGGCTGTGGGCTCCCTGTCTCCTGTCCCAGTCTAGAACTGAAGAGCAGAGAGGACGGGGGACGAGGAGTGAGGAAGAGAGGGCGTAGGACTCTGAGTCAGGGATGCAGGAGAAGCAGGCTGAGGTCAGACCCCTCCGTCCCTCCCGGCCCAGGGAGCACACTGGGGTTTTCACAGACTGGGTACAGACAGGCTGCTGCTTGTCCTTGACCTCAGCCATAGTCAACATGTCTGTTACTGAGGCCTGCAGACACACAGAGAACACAGACAGGAAAGTGTCGCCTGGGGTGAGAGAGACAAAGAAATCCCTGGATCATACACAGCATATACATCCAACTACTGTTCCACCAACACCACAAAACAAGGGTTTATTTAAAATGTGATGACGAATAATGATCTCCACTGTACTTAACATCATACTCCGACATATCATCTATATGAATAACCAGGATGTGCTGACCTGCCCCAGTGAGACATAGAGGACCTTCATCAGGGTCTCTCTGTCATCAGGCCCAGGGGAAGGACAGACAGGCTCTGGGGTGACAGGGTGTTGGACTGAGACGCCATCCCTCTTCTGGTTCCAGCTCCGAGGGCCCCACTGAGAAAGTAGCTTCGCTAACCTGGGAAACACCGTCAAGCATCAAACACACATCAATCAATCAATCAAAAGTTTTGTCCCTGGAGTAGGATATTATTATGTCACTGTCTCAGGGTGTCTACCTTCACTCTGCCAATACAGGTGTGTTACATTAGGTGTGTGACAGGCAGGTGTAGTGTGGGTCAGAGAGAGTCGCCTGCTCTCAACAGGTACAGTATATGGTAACATGGCACGCAGGAGAGATGTATGTGACATTAGGTATCCATGAGCTGCAGGAAGTAGGTCTATAGGTTGGGTGGATGTAGGCCTATAGGTTGGGTGGAAGTAGACCTATAGGTTGGGTGGAAGTAGACCTATAGGTTGGGTGGAAGTAGACCTATAGGTTGGGTGGAAGTATATAAGTTGGGTGGAAGTATATAGGTTGGGTGGAAGTATATAGGTTGGGTGGAAGTAGACCTATAGGTTGGTGGAAGTATATAAGTTGGGTGGAAGTATTTGGTTGGGTGGAAGTAGACCTATAGGTTGGTGGAAGTATATAGGTTGGGTGGAAGTATATAAGTTGGGTGGAAATAGACCTATAGGTTGGTGGAAGTATATAAGTTGGGTGGAAGTATATAGGTTGGGTGGAAGTAGGCCTATAGGTTGGGTGGAAGTAGACCTATAGGTTGGGTGGAAGTAGACCTATAGGTTGGTGGAAGTATATAGGTTGGGTGGAAGTAGACCTATAGGTTGGGTGGAAGTATATAGGTTGGGTGGAAGTAGGCCTATAGGTTGGGTGGAAGTAGACCTATAGGTTGGGTGGAAGTAGACCTATAGGTTGGGTGGAAGTAGGCCTATAGGTTGGGTGGAAGTAGGCCTATAGGTTGGGTGGAAGTAGGCCTATAGGTTGGGTGGAAGTAGACCTATAGGTTGGGTGGAGGTAAATCTATAGGTTGGGTGGAAGTAGACCTATAGGTTGGGTGGAGGTAGACCTATAGGCTGGGTGGAAGTAGACCTATAGGTTGGGTGGAAGTAGACCTATAGGTTGGGTGGAAGTAGACCTATAGGTTGGGTGGAAGTAGACCTATAGGTTGGGTGGAGGTAGACCTATAGGCTGGGTGGAAGTAGACCTATAGGTTGGGTGGAAGTAGGCCTATAGGTTGGTGGAAGTATATAGGTTGGGTGGAAGTATATAGGTTGGGTGGAAGTATATAGGTTGGGTGGAAGTAGGCCTATAGGTTGGTGGAAGTATATAGGTTGGGTGGAAGTAGACCTATAGGTTGGGTGGAAGTAGACCTATAGGTTGGGTGGAAGTAGACCTATAGGTTGGGTGGAAGTAGACCTATAGGTTGGGTTGCACCGACGGCACCTAGCGATGTCATGTGTGGTTGCGCCGCAAATTGTGTCAGGTCACAACCAGCTTGTGTTCACAGGAATAGAATACCCATTCCAAAAGTCAGGACAGACAGGATCAGGATAAGGGCAGTGCTGATATCAAGACAGATTAAGTCAGGACAGACAGGATCAGGATAAGGGCAGTGCTGATATCAAGACAGATTAAGTCAGGACAGACAGGATCAGGATAAGGGCAGTGCTGATATCAAGACATGCATCAACAGGTTATATTACCCACACTAATAAAACATTGGGGATTACCTGTACTCAAAGTAGCAGTCACTTTGAATAAACAAGGGTACTCTTTCTTTTAGGATCCACTCCACTCCTTGTTCTCTGTCCAAGCGCTGTTAAGACATTCAAATCAATGATGATTATTCTCATTTAGATGATGCCACACACAGGTGTCCGATTTCATAAACTCCATATCATGAATCAACCAACTAATCTGATGAGAAACTTGAATAATATGCCATTTAGCAGATGCTTTTATCCAAAGTGACTTAAAGTCATGTGTGCATACATTTCTTTTTACGTATGGGTGGTCCCGGGGATCGAACCCACTACCCTGGCGTTACAAGCGCCGTGCTCTACCAGCTGAGCTACAGAGGACCACTTGAATAAAAAAAGCCATAATCTTTAGTTTGACTAAACTTACGAGGGCAATGTGGTGGTTGGCAAATCGAATTGACAGTTTACTTGTCAATTGTACAACAGGTGTAAAACAGTACAGTGAAATGCTCACTTGCAAGCTCTTTCCCACAATGCAGTATTCAATATCAAGATGACATACTATAAAGGAACAGGAGAATGTGAACTGACCAGAACAGTGTAGTGGTTGTCCACCATGGGTCTAACAGCCAGCTCTGTTGGGTCAGTGAAAGGTTGTGATTGAAAGTACTGCAGGTCTGACCTGATCCTCCTAGATAGAGCCCCCGCTGCATCACTGACCACCTCAAACACACCAGTCTCCTTGTTGTACTGTACACACTCAGGGAAAGACTGTGTTGGAAGGAAACAGGACATTGGGACATTATTTGATTAACAGAAGAATTAAAAGAAAATCTCAGATTCGGACAGAATAGATACAGGGAAAGTGTAGCCCGTGTAATTGGTAAATTATCTTAAATCTGTTCAACCATTGAGGACCGTGAAATCAAGCATTTCCACAAGCATAACAATTTCCAACATATTTGTGCTTTAGAAAAGTTTTGGCATTCATCCACAGTGAAAATAAACTTTGGTTACTGAATAAAGTAAAATATAGCCAAAGTAGAAATGTGACATTATGTTTACAGGTAGACGGAGGAACTCATTAAAGAAGTGCACCAGAACATCATCAGAAGCCAGACAGTCCTCCTGTGGACATTGAACAGAAGACATAGGTTAGTTAGTATTCAATGTGTTGATATTGAGAAAAACTACAACATTCACTTTAAATCCCTTGCCAGAATCCTAGAAGTGATATTAAAAGTTGTTCAACACAGTACAATACAAGTTGAAACGTTTAAAAAAATACATTCGTTTTTTAATTTTTATAAATAGGTTACTCACGAAATTATCGATGGTAAGGTAAGGTGGATCTATGGAAGAAAAAATTCGAGACATTTATGGTGCTTTTAAGACAACTGATGCCACCTTCAGATCAACTGGGATCTCGGAAATCTCTGACTTCCGAGCGTCCAAGACAACTGGTAACTCGGGAAACGAGGTCAAATCATGACGTCAGCGATTTTCAAGCCGGAGCTCTAGAAAGAGGCCAGAGATCCCGGCTTGGAATTCCGAGTTGGATGACCGTCCAAAACGACTTTCCCAGCCGGAGCGCGTTTTTGCCCACCGAGTTCTCGGTTGTCTTGAACGCATTGAACTTCCCAGTAGTTTTTAACGTTGAATGTTCTCTCACCACAGAGGGCAAACGTTTTATTCAGCTGTTGTAGAATTCCCGGACTCACCTGTTGTAATCTTCCCCAACATTCTTCACTTTATGTACTACAGTTGTCAGTAGTTATAATTCACCCAGAAACGTCAGCCAGGGGCTCTATGCCCGGAACACCTCTGACCCTCCGTCACCAAGACCTTTCAGTGTAATTACCGACAGAGGGGTTGCCATGGAAGTGAACTCAATCACATTGCAGAGGGGGCAGTAAATGTCGTGACGCCGAGGAAACATTAACTGGAGTGGCATTCATCCATTTTTAAACTACTAAATATACTGCATTTTATTCAGCCTTCTCATAGTAAAGTAGAGATGATTAACCATAACACGCTACTAAGTCACATTACTAAACACAGTGGCATTTATTTATTATATTTCAGAGAGGAATAGGCGGTAGTACTTTCTCAGTGAATGCGACGGTCAAGTGAATGAAATTAACCAGTAGATGGCGCCATAACGATAAAAACTATTTGATACAAAACACATTGTCCTTGTTCACATGCCTATGAAACAACGTCAAATAAATATGTAAAAGTACAACTTTATTTAAAATAATCTATAAAACATTTGTACAGCCAGTTGTAAAAGTAGACAATATACAGTAGTATACAGATACATTCATATAAAACCATGAAAATCAAGCTGAGAAGAGAAACAACATTCTGTAGATCAATTAATTAACCCAGCAGGAGCTCAGCATTCAGTAGCCATTTCATGTCTGATTGATTCTACTGGTGCTGCTCCTCGCTGACCCATAATTAAAAACACATCGAATATAAAACACATTAAAAAAAAGGTAACCGGAGGTACAAATAACTTCAAAAACAACTACACATATAAAAACCCAGTCACAATCGCCTGACGTTGCGCTTGCTCTGAGCACTCCCGGGAAGAACATCCTTTTTGCTGCGTCGCATGGCTGACACGCTAGCGCACTCTTTGGACCCGTGGAAGGCACAAAGGCAGCCTGTACAGAACTGGAAGCCACAGTCAACCCTGCTACACACACCCTCCATCTTCACTGAGTGACACCTAGCAGGGTGCCTGCATCGAGGGCAGGGCTTCAGACATTCATCACTGAAGAGGGTTTTGGCCACCTAGGAGGACGGAAAACACAACATAACAGAGATTAGGGCTAGTGTCTTTCTCTACAGGGAGGGATCCACAATATAACATTAGGGCTAGTGTCCTTCTCTACAGGGAGGGATCCACAATATTTGGCTTATTTGATAAACTTACAGCAATGAGGTATCATAAAATAGTGACGTTAGTGGGATGTGTGTTTAAGAGAAGAAAAAAAACATCCCTGTGTGTCAAATGCTGTTTTAATTAATCACGGCCATAAACAAATCTCTTATTTTCATATACCTGAAACATATGGCCTCATAATGTGACCATAAAAACATTACTGTACATTACAAAGTGGACTAACCTGTACGAACAGGTCCTGTTTGCTGGCTGAGTTGTGCTGGACGGGGGTTAAAGAGCCTGTTCCTGTGGCTGACTGGGGGGTACCACGGGTGCTGGAACTGGGGGTCCTGGACTGGGCCTGGACTGACTTCAGGGCTGACCGGCTCAGCAGGGTCAACCTGGTCTCTGCATCAGGGACATGGACTGCACTGCCAAGCTGCACACACACAGGGAATGAAAGTAGATGTGTACTATTTATAGAAAATCTGACTGGAGCTATATTCATAGTGTCTCAGTACGAATGCTGATCTGGGATCAGTTTTGCCTTTTTAGATCATAAATGAATAAGACTACATGGCCAGATGGGACCTGATCCGAGATCAACGCGGTTACAGGTGGCGTCCTCACCTCCAGAGCTGCCTTGACGTCCAACAGGTAGCGTCTCCTCCTGCGGTCGGACATCTTGTTTTGAACTATGATCTCATTCCAACTATCAGACACCTGACCAACCCTGAGGACCAGCAGAACACACGCAACAATGTCATGACAATGACGTGGTATAATGTTCTAGGCAGCGTTTTGATCGCACACGCGTCGGTGGATCTGTAACACACACTGCCTTCAGAATGTATTCACACCCCTTGACTTATTCCACATTTTGTTGTGTTACAGCCTGGATTCAAAATGGATTGTTTCTCACCAATCTGCACACAACACCCCATAATGACAAAAGTGAAAACATGTTTTGAAATGTTAGCAAATATGATTAAAAATGGAAATACAGAAATCTCATTTACATACAGTACCAGTCAAAAGTCTGGACACACACACTCATTCAAGGTTTATTTTTTATTTTTTACATTGTAGAATAATAGTGAAGACATCAAAACTATGAAATAACACATATGGAATGATGTACTAACCAAAAAACGTGTTAAACATATTTTAGATTTTTCAAAGTAGCCACCCTTTGCCTTGACGACAGCTTTGCACACTCTTGGCATTCTCTCAACCAGCTTCATGAGGAATGCTTTTCCAACAGTCTTGAAGGACTTCCCACATATGCTGAGCACTTGTTGGCTGCTTTTCCTTCACTCTGCGGTCCAACTCATCCCAAACCATCTCAATTGGGTTGAGGTCGGGTGATTGTGGAGGCCAGGTCATCTGATGCAGCACTCCATCGCTCTCCTTCTTGGTCAAATAGCCCTTCCACTGCCTGGAGGTGTGTTTTTGGTCATTGTCCTGTTGAAAAACAAATGATAGTCCCACTAAGCGCAAACCAGATGGGATGGCGTATCGCTGCAGAATGCTGTGGTAGCCATGCTGGTTAAGTGTGCCTTGAATTCTAAATAAATCACAGACAGTGTCACCAGCAAAGCACCCCCACACCATAACTCCTCCTCCATGCTTCACGGTGGGAACCACACATGCAGAGATCATCCGTTCACCCACACCACGTCTCACAAAGACACGGCGGTTGGAACCAAAAATCTCAAATTTGGACTCATTAGACCAAAGGACAGATTTCCACCAGTCTAATGTCCATTGCTCGTGTTTCTTGGCCTAAGCAAGTCTCTTCTTATTATTGGTGTCCTTTAGTAGTGGTTTCTTTGCAGCAATTCAACCATGAAGGCCTGATTCATGCAGTCTCCTCTGAACAGTTGATGTTGAGATGTGTCTGTTACTTGAACTCTGAAGCATTTATTTGGGCTGCAATTTCTGAGGCTGGTAACTAATGAACTTATCCTCTGCAGCAGAGGTAACTCTGGGTCTTCCTTTCCTGTGGTGGTCCTCATGAGAGCCAGTTTTATCATAGCGCTTGATGGTTTTTGCCACCGCACTTGAAGAAACTATCAAAGTTCTTGAAATGTTCAGGATTGACATGCTGGAGTGTCGTTTCTCTTTGCTTATTTGAGCTGCTCTTGCCATAATATGGACTTGGTCTTTTCCCAAATAGGGCTGTCTTCTGTATACCCCCCCTACCTTGTCACAACACAACTGATTGCCTCAAACGCATTAAGGAAATAAATTCCACAAATTAACTTTTAAGAAGGTACACCTGTTAATTGAAATGCATTCCAGGTGACTACCTCATGAAGCTGGTTGAGAGAATTCAAAGAGTGTGCAAAGCTGTCATCAAGGCAAAGGGTGGCTACTTTGAAGAATCTCACATATATTTTGATTTGTTAAACACTTTTTTGGTTACTACATGATTCCATATGTGTTATTTCATAGTTTTGATGTCTTCACTATTATTCTACAATGTGGAAAATAGTAAAACATTTTTAGAAAAACCCTGGATTGAGTAGGTGTGTCCAAACTTTTGACTGGTACTGCATCTGAGGAAGAGTATAAAACAATTTCTAGAGTGTTGAAAGTTTCCAAGAGTACAGTGGTCTCCATCATTAGGAAATCGAAAAAATATGGAAATACCCAGACTGCCTAGAGCTGGCCATCCGACCAAACTGAGCAACCGGGAAAGAAGGACCTTGATCAGGGAGGTGACCAAGAACCCAATGACCACTCTGACAGAACTACAGAGTTCCTTGGCTGAGATGGGAGAACCTACCAGAAGGACAACAGTCTCTACAGCACTTCACCGATCTGGGCTTTATGGGAGAGTGGCCAGACGGAAGCAGGGAAGAAAATCCTGACAGACAAGACGACTCAAAGTTATAACCGTCACCAAAGGTGCTTCTACAAAGTATTGACTCAGGGGTGTGAATACCTATGTAGATGAGATACGCATTTCATTTTCAATACATTTGCTACAATTTCTAAAAACATGTTTTCACTGTCATTATGGTGTATTGTGTGAGATTTTTATTTTATTTATTTAATCCATTTTTAATTCAGGCTGTAACACAACAAAATGTGGAATAAGTCAAGGGGTATGAATACTTTCTGAAGGCATTGTATATACAGTAAATAAACTCCTCACCTATAGACATCTTCAGAGGACAGCTGATTGAGGATCATAGCCAGGATGTGTCTGAGATTCTTCTTCTTCAGCTCAGTAAAGATGTCTACCTTCCCCAGGCCCATCTTCCTGCCGATCAGCCCAGCCAGGGGCATGGTGGTCCTGAAGGCCTCTTTCTCCGAGGCCCTCAGCAGCTCCTCCATACTGGTCTGCTCCAGCAACATCCTGGAGGTCCTCTGGGACAGGGCCTGGACCATCTGCAGGGCCGGCGTGAGGGACAGGTCCTCTAGCTTAACGGTGGCTGTTTTCGGCGGAGTCACTTCCAGGAAGACGTCACGGTCATCCTCCTTGAAGATGCTGCGCTCCAGATGTGCCTGGGATGTCAGGTTCTTCTCTCTGTGATGAGTTCTGTGGGCTGCCAGGGCCCTGACGTCACGGTCCCCCTCAGACTGGGAACCCCCCTCTCGGAGAGTGGAGAGGCGGCGCTGGCGCTCCAGTCTGGACCTGATGATGATGATGAGGTTTATTTTTTTACTTAATAAATAATTTTGCAAAACGGAAGCAAGATGCAAACTGAATTACACCAAGTACAACTTATAATGAAATTAATAATTATTACAATAATTAAACTACAAAACTGAAATTTTCTAGGGCAATGTTTCTCAACTTCAGTCCTTGAGTACCCCAAACATCACACATTTGTATATACTGTTGGGGGTACTCAAGGACTGGAGTTGAGAAACACTGTTCGAGGGCATTCATTGGAAGTGAAAAAGCTAATCCAGCCTACCTCCTCTTCATCTCAGCCAGCCTGCTGGGGGTCTCCTTGCACCTGGAGCTGCCTGATGGCAACAGCAGCTCCTGGAAGGAACCATCATTGTCCACCGTGGAGTCCTGGGACTTATCCAGAGCCAGGGAGCTGAAGCCACTGTCCTCAGACACGGAGCGGTCACAGTGTTTATGAGTAGGGGTGGATGAAGGGGTGTCATGGTCATAGTGTTTATGAGTAGGGGTGGATGAAGGGGTGTCATGGTCCATAGTGTTTATGAGTAGGGGTGGATGAAGGGGTGTCATGGTCACAGTGTTTATGAGTAGGGGTGGATGAAGGGGTGTCATGGTCACAGTGTTTATGAGTAGGGGTGGATGAAGGGGTGTCATGGTCACAGTGTTTATGAGTAGGGGTGGATGAAGGGGTGTCATGGTCACAGTGTTTATGAGTAGGGGTGGATGAAGGGGTGTCATGGTCACAGTGTTTATGAGTAGGGGTGGATGAAGGGGTGTCATGGTCACAGTGTTTATGAGTAGGGGTGGATGAAGGGGTGTCATGGTCACAGTGTTTATGAGTAGGGGTGGATGAAGGGGTGTCATGGTCACAGTGGTTTATGAGTAGGGGTGGATGAAGGGGTTTCATGGTCATAGTGTTTATGAGTAGGGGTGGATGAAGGGGTTTCATGGTCATAGTGTTTATGAGTAGGGGTGGATGAAGGGGTTTCATGGTCACAGTGTTTATGAGTAGGGGTGGATGAAGGGGTGTCATGGTCACAGTGTTTATGAGTAGGGGTGGATGAAGGGGTGTCATGGTCATAGTGTTTATGAGTAGGGGTGGATGAAGGGGTGTCATGGTCGTGTTTATGAGTAGGGGTGGATGAAGGGGTGCTCAGGACACTCAGGCTGTCAGAGAGGTCAGCTGCTACGTTGTTGTTGACTGGAGTCTGGAAGTTCTCTTTCACCGAGGGTGTTAATCTGCTACAGCGTGGGGTCTCCGGCATCTCAGTGGAAAGGCGGTCTGAGGAGATGATGCTCTCTTCCAAGTCTGCATCCGAGAGCGATGCAGCGGACGCCTTTCTCTCAAAGAGAGGGAGGCTGGTCGTGTTGCATTTACCATCTTCAAGCGTTGAGGTTTTTACAAGCGGGAAGAGGAGGCGCCGTTTCCTGCTGGACAGAAGCACGTCCTCTGGGTTTAAAGTGCTCGTAGCTAAAGCTCCAATAGTAAAGGCATCTGGTGAGTCAAAGACCACGTTGGAGCAGCGGTCAGTTCTCACGTTCACTGACGAGTCAGTCCTTTTAGCGCATGGTGTTTTTGTGTTGTCTGCAGTTTTACCCTCCGATTTAGACATGAGGAGACGTCGTCTCAGAGATGGATCTCTCTTGGATACTTTAGGAGTTTCACACCAGCCATTCTGCAATGGCCGCTCCTTCAGAATGTCTTTCTGTGGACTCCTGACGCCCTCTTTTAGTCTGTTCTTTCTGGGTGACAGAGGTTCGCATTTCTGTGAAAGGTTCTCTTTAGGCGTTTCATGAAAACCATCTGAAGAAAAACACTTTGAGAGGGCAAATTTGTCTCCACTGTCCATTTTAGGGCTGTAACCACTGTCCAGGTATCCACTGTCATGACAAGCTCCATATTGCAGGTCTTTGCGGCTCTGGAAATGAGCATCTGGTCTGAGACTGCACTCCATACTCCCTTTCAGATGTAGAAAGACTATATTCACCAGGTGACGGGTCTGGTGTTACAAACTGATCTGTGAGAAGAAAGTGAAAAACAATGCAGTTAGACAAAAAGTGTTAAGCCACATCGCAAGTTAGGCCTAACGTTAACTAAGTTCATGTAGCTAGTTAGCCAAGATTAGACAAAATGTAACCTGTCCTACATTTTTTGAAAATACAAATATATCTAGCTGACTTTTGCTAAAGAAAAAGTGGTCAATAGCTAACAGGTTATGAGAGTAGCTACTTCAGCCAAAACATGCGCCTTCCAAGTGGATGAAAGAAACAACCAGAAGCTAGCTGATGTCGTTAGTGACAACAATTCCATAGTTGCTATGCTGTCGCGTGCTGTTGATAAACGGTATTTAAATCCCCTCTCGGTCGCTCGGTCGGTCGATCGGTTTGGAAATGTTCCGCCTATAGATCTCCATGGCTCCCATTCGCCCGCTCAAACTGCACTGCGACCGCCAACACCTCGACTGAGGCTGGGAACACGGTGTTTGGCTCCCTGGCTCCCTCCCTCCCTAGAGGCCCATTAGCCCGCTGGCTGGCTGGCTAGCATAAAAACAAGGGTTTGATAAATGGGAGCTAGTTAAGGGTTAGCTACCTAGCTCGTTTCAATCACAAAATATTAAAAGCCTTTGCAATTTCAGAATGATGCAGGTGTGCAATGTAGAGTACATTGTTTGTTGTATCGCTTTATTACTCAACTAGTTAGTTTTTGCTTGTTAACCAATTGATTAGCTGAAAGTTAATACCCTAACGTTAGCAATTCACCTTGAAATACATACTAAAATGAACTGCATGTATACAAGGTTGATACACACGTTAACGTTACGTAGCAAAGCTAGTTACTCACCTAGCTATTGTTTCAGAAAGAAAGTTAGCTAGTGTCGAAGTGTTGTTTACTTACTTCTAGCCAAATGGCAAACCTAAAACGTAGCTATAGATGGTGGACATTCCAAAGAGGTATATCGTGTTGCATCAGGAGTTGTACCGTCTGCAGACTGCAGTGGCCATCTCCTCTTCGTAATGAACTGTGTGTGTTTAGGTGTGAGAGCTTTTCCACGTTTTCAAATTTGGTGCAAAACCCTGCGGCTCATCTCACGCCACCTCTCGCGATGATTTGTTTTCCCAAACGAACGCATGAATGTTATTCACCGCACCGTAGTCCGGGAGGTGTTCTCTGTCTTTCATTTATTCATCTACCTGACAGTGCCGTGCGTTCAGATAAACTCTCCGGTCGACACAAGATCGTATCACTCATTCTGCATGTGATATCCTAGTTTAAGGTGGGCTGGTAACATCTTAAACCGCAGACATGGTGGCGGCTAAGAAAACGGTGAGTTTGGGACTGGGAAATCGTTCATTAATAGAAATGTTTGTGCACATCCTTCATTTAGGAACGGTGATGGGTAAATGTTATTTTCAAATCGTTCATTTATCCCCAGTGTGAGTGACCAAGCAGGGCCCGGTTTCCCGGAACTTTAGGCTTACGAGTCTCTTTACGATGTATCTTTCCCACGGCGGAAGGTGTACCATGCGTTTCCCAAAACACCACGCAGAGAGAACGTTCCGTAGGGGCGTCGTTGTGGCATGTGTCGATACTGATGGGATTGAAAGAAAGGCAGCGCTGTTTTCGGGTCAGCTTTCTCCATTCAAATCTTACTTTAATATTATAATTATTCCTAAATACTGACAAGGTATCAACTCCTAGAGAGATTATCACCTATGGCTGCAACTATTGAGGCGTCTCATTCTAATTCTTACCCTATAATACACCGAGTTTGGGAAACCGACGTAACTAACCAACACTTACCTAACTACTGCAGGGGTGGGCAGTCTGGCATTTGCTCCAGTCAACTATCACACCTATTAATTATTTGAATCTGGTGTGTTACTACTAGGTTGAAGCAAAACCCTCTCCCTCAGGGAAGACTGCTCACTCCTGCTCAGCACCAATATTATACTAAAGTGAATCCACCCTAAAAACTGATTTGAACACTCTTCCCTTCTCTCTGTAGGAAATCAGAGATATAATACTATGCTATGCTGGCTAAGACTGGAGTCCACCACTACAGTGGGAACAACATGGAGCTTGGGGACAGCCTGTGGAAAGTACTTCAGTCTGCACACTGGCCATCATTGACCCAGGTGAGTTCATGGAAAATTAACAAGAGTGTAAACTGTTCTTCTTTCCCGACTGGTTTATAGAACGTAACTTCTAATTATTTTCTAATCATCTACAGGTGATTCAGACATCATCAGGAGCAGGGGCGGTGTGTTCATTAGGGCGATATGGGCGACGCACTGCCAAACGGGAAAAGGAAAGGATTTTTTTCCTAATCAATTATATCACGGCAACAGTAGTTATCAGTGTTCTAATCTAGACGTCTGATCTGCCACTAAATGTCCAATCAGGCTAAAGTCGTGCTTCAAATGGCCCCGCCCCTTTTGGGGCGATTTCAGTCAGGTTGAAAATCGCCCCAGAAGTCTCTCATAGACTCTCATGTCAAATCTTTTTTTTTCAAATATCAGAGCTTTCAATACAATCTCTATGGGTTTCTGAGGGCTTGCACTTACGCGCTTTCGTCATACGTAACATAACCATGAACGTAACTAAGAAAAGAGCGGGTAGCAGCGTCAATCAATTCACGTACTACTGTCAAGATGGCTAGCGTTCAGTGCAACTCGATTGTCTCTTTGAAAGAAGTTCCTTTTTGTCGGCGAACAAATCAAGATAAATTGGCAACGAAACAATTAGGACCTCCCAGACCAAATTTAATAATTCAACAGGTTTCTACTAAAGGGGGAAAGTCCTACACCCGAGGATTTTCCAAAAATTGGTACGAACAAAAAACCTGGCTAGCAGGCTGCGATGTAGCTAATGCAGTCTTCTGCTACCCCTGCTTACTCTTTCACCCTGAAGGCGGCACGGCAGACAGCACCGCTTGGACAGCGACTGGTGTAACGGACATGCACCATCTTTCAGAAAAGATTAAGAAACATGAGCTGTCAAAGACTCACATGGATAGCTGTTTGAGATTGTCTGCTTTGGGGAGAGTGAACATTGCCACTCAACTGGATGAGGGAGACAGGCTAGCTGTCCGCCGCCACAACGATGAGGTTAGCAAGAACCGCCACATCCTCAGCCGGCTAATCCAGTGTGTGAAGTTTTGCGGAGTGTTTGAGTTAGCTTTGCGAGGCAAAGATGAAACTGAGGGCTCCACCAACCCTGGTATTTTTCTTGGACTTGTCAACTTTGTGGCACAATTAGATGAGGTGTTTTATGGAAATGCATATTGTTTATGCAGTGTTGAGGAATGTGAAAGAACACCCTTGATTATTTTTTACTGTGATAACTTATTTTGCTTTTGTAAGCCAACACTTTTGAGATCAGTCAATAAATGCTTCTGGTATTGACTTATATGCTGCCCCTGTCTTCATGTTGTTGCTGGACATCTTGTGTGTAAAATGTGTGTAGGTCACCTAAATCATCAGAAAAATTGCCCCCCCTGAGAATTTTTTCAGGAGCCGCCACTGATCAGGAGTATGCCTGATCAGCCACAGAGGGGAGAAGTAGTCTAGTTGGTTCTCTTCTGTTTCCCTGGATATTTATTTGTAAATAAATCTACTTTAAAAGATGACCAAGTTGTTTGTCATGACGTGTTCAGTCATTGCCATGTAATTGTAGTACAACGGAAGAAATTATGCAAGAGACTAAAATGTGGGCAAGCATTTTTCTACATCAAGTTTGCAATGTAATGAAGATGTCACCCTGGGGTTCTGTGTTCTGTCACCCTGGGGTTCTGTCAGTGTCACCCTGGTGTTCTGTCACCCTGGGGTTCTGTGTTCTGTCACCCTGGGGTTCTGTCAGTGTCACCCTGGTGTTCTGTCACCCTGGGGTTCTGTGTTCTGTCACCCTGGGGTTCTGTCACCGTCACCCTGGTGTTAGACTGTAGTAGAGCCATAAAGGCACAATAACAATCTTCACATGTCACTATTACAACTAGTGTCATCTTAATCTCCAGTGAGGAAAAAAGGACATTACCACGTTTAGATGGGTCCATATAATTGTCCCAACAGTCACTAACAATTCCTTCACTAAAATAATGAATTGATTGTTAGTGGTCACTCTCAACACAGCAATATAAATCCCCCATAAGGTACTGTCACACGCCGAGCACAGTCCAGGGGTGTATTCATTCCACCAAATGGTTGCAAAACGTTTCCAACTAAAACTATAGTTGTTATTGGACAAATTCAGGTAGATTTCGTTTGCTTCTGTTTTTAAGAGACCTTTAGCAACAGAATCGGCTGAATGAATACACTAGTTAAGTGTGTTCTGGTTGAGTTCTGACCCTCTACATTGCATCCTAATGTTCCAGTTCAGTCTTCGCAGCGTGGGTTGGTTCACAGTTTCGACTCCAGCCGTTCTAGGTTTCTTCCAGAACATTAGGACGAGAATACAATGTAATCACAAGACTAAGTTTAATTCACTTGTTTGGCCTTGCTGGCCAGAGCCTGTAGGTTAGCCGGTCCTCCCCACACTGTCCCGAACACATCCCGCTCAGTCCTCAGGGCTGCCTCCAGGGGGAGCTCTCTCCCTGACACCACCACTTTCTTTATGGCTCTGATGACCGGGGCTGGACCCTTGGTGTAGCTGCCCAACCACTGCTCTGCCTCCAGACCCAGCCAGGGGACCCTCCAGGACCCCATCCGCAAGCCCAATCTGCAGCCCCATCTCTGGGTCCACATTCAGGGCATTACCCAGCATCTTCAGGGCGTTCTAGCTGCACCGCCCCAACCAGGGACCAGACCCATGTGTTTATGGACAAACTGGATCACACTGCCTGGCGCCATCAACCTAGCGGGGAGAGAGACCGTGATGTTGGTTTAGAGATTGGAAACCTGGTGGATTCTGTTGCTCAGATATTTCTTGAAAAGTCATTTTTTTATGTGCACCCTCCTTTTTCTCCACTATCTGGATGTGGGCCTCCAGTTTAATAAACCCATAGCAACGGTGCCATCTGTGGAAAATGAGTTCCGTTACTGTACCTAAAGTCACAGGCAGTAGTGAGCTCTCCCCCTCCTCCCAGCGCTCTCCCCCTCCTCCCAGCGCTCTCCCCTCCATCAGAGCTACGGAGAACAGAGGCAGCCTGCACAGAGAACACATGGCTCAGCATTGGCACAGAGCATCTGGCATGACGCACTGATCTAGAACTTTCTAAACACAGAGGGTAGTGTCCTACCTCAGTAGCCTGGTCAGGATATTCTGCATGAACATCTTCATCCCATCCTGAAAGGCAAGACGCATCGTTTACACCATGGGGGGGGGTGTCAAACTCATTCCATGGAGGGCCTAGTGCAGGGTTCTTCAATTCCGGTCCTGGAGGGCCGAAACAGCTCTGTTTTTCATCCTCTCCTTCTAATCAGGGGCTAATTCAGACCTGGGACACCAGGTGAGTGCAATTAACTACCAGGTAGAAGTGTTTCGGCCCTCCAGGACCGGAATTGAAGAACCCTGGCCTAGTGTCTGCTGGTTTTGGGGTTTTTCCTTTCAGTTAAGACCTAGACAACCAGGTGAGGGGAGTTCCTTACTAAGCCCTAGACAACCAGGTGAGGGGAGTTCCTTACTAAGACCTGGACAACCAGGTGAGGGGAGTTCCTTACTAAGACCTGGACAACCAGGTGAGGGGAGTTCCTTACTAATTAGTGATCTTAATTCATCAACAAGTACAAGGGAGGAGTGAAAACCCCCAGCCACTCGGCCCTCCGTGGAAAGAGTTTCACACGTGGTTTAGAAAGTCAGATTGGATGGAAGTAGGAGTGCCCCAATACAATGTGACTGAATAAAAACAGTTCACTGAGTTTTCTATAGGTCTTTCAGAGAGGAAGAAAGAGATAGTTCAGAGAGACTGACCTGAGGGTTGGATATATCTCTGACAACTGAGGTCTGTTTTGAGGCTTGAATATGGCTCTGACAACATTGAGGTCTGACCTGAAGGTTGGATACAGTGCCTTGCAAAAGTATTCATCCCCCTTGGCATTTTTCCTATTTTGTTGCATTACAACCTGTAATTTAAATTGATTTTTATTTGGATTTCATGTAATGGACATACACAAAATAGTCCAAATTGGTGAAGTGAAATGGAAAAAATTATTTGTTTCAAAAAAAAAATAACGGAAAAGTGGTGCGTGCATATGTATTCACCCCCTTTGCTATGAAGCTCCTAAATAAGATCTGGTGCAACCAATTACCTTCAGAAGTCACATAATTAGTTAAAGTCCACCTGTGTGCAATCTAAGTGTCACATGATCTCAGTATATATACACCTGTTCTGAAAGGCCCCAGAGTCTGCAACACCACTAAGCAAGGGGCACCATGAAGACCAAGGAGCTATCCAAACAGAGACCAAAAATAACCCTGAAGGATCTGCAAAGCTCCACAGCGGAGAATGGAGTATCTGTCCATAGGACCACTTTAAGCCGTACACTCCACAGAGCTGGGCTTTACGGAAGAGTGGCCTGAAAAAAGCCATTGCTTAAAGAAAAAAATAAGCAAACACGTTTGGTGTTCGCCAAAAGCCATGTTGGAGATTCCCCAAACATATGGAAGAAGGTACTCTGGTCAGATGAGACTAAAATTGAGCTTTTTGGCCATCAAGGAAAACGCTATGTCTGGCGCAAACCCAACACCTCTCATCACCCCGAGAACACCATGTTTTTCATTGGCAGGGACTGGGAAACTGGTCAGAATTGAAGGAATGATGGATGGTGCTAAATACAGGGAAATTATTGAGGGGAAACCTGTTTGTCTTCCAGAGATTTGGGACAGAGGTTCACCTTCCAGCAGGACAATGACCCTAAGCATACTGCTAAAGCGACACTTGAGTGGTTTAAGGGGAAACATTTAAATGTCTTGGAATGGCCTAGTGAAAGCCCAGACCTCAATCCAATTGAGAATCTGTGGTATGACTTAAAGATTGCTGTACACCAGCGGAACCCATCCAACTTGAAGGAGCTGGAGCAGTTTTGCCTTGAAGAATGGGCAAAAATCCCAGTGGCTAGATGTGCCAAGCTTATAGAGACATACCCCAAGAGACTTGCAGCTGTAATTGCTGCAAAAGGTGGCTCTACAAAGTATTGACTTTGGGGATGGGTGAATAGTTATGCACGCTCAAGCTTTCTTATTTCTTGTTTGTTTCACACAAAAAAATATTTGGCATCTTCAAAGTGGTAGGCATGTTGTGTAAATCAAATGATACAAACCCCCAAAAAATCAATTTTAATTCCAGGTTGTAAGGCAACAACATAGGAAAAATGCCATGGGGGGTGAATACTTTCGCAAGCCACTGTATGTCTCTGACAACATTGAGGTCTGACCTGAGGGTTGGATATAGCCCTGACAGCGTTGAGGTCTGCCCCAGAGCAGAATGTCCCAGCAGCCCCCTGGATGATGAGACCTTTCCCCTCCGTCCACTCCTCTAGCTGGGACATCCTCTTCTCCAGCTCCACCATCATAGAACCTGGAGAAAACAGGGTAGTGTTCAGTTGGGAGAAAACGTTTTGAACCTGAGTAAAACAGAGGGAGGTACAACCTGAACATGTTCAATATGAGGTTGAGTGTTGACGAGAGATTAACTGCTGCTCTTCTAGTTTTCATGAGAAATATTACTGTGATGGAAATTCCACATAGTCACCCCTACATACCCCACAAGACATGCCACCAGGGGTCTCTTCACAGTCCACAAGTCCAAAATGAATTCACAGCAACGTAAATCATTATAATAATATGCCATTTAGCAGACGCTTTTTTACCAAAGCGACTTACAGTCATGTGTGCATACATTTTTTTTTTGTGTATGGGTGGTCCCGGGGATCGAACCCACTACCTTGACGTTACAAGCGCCGTGCTCTATCAGCTGAGCTACAGAGGACCACAAACGTACAGTATTATACAGAGCCATGATTGCATGGAACTTCTATCTCCAATTACTCAAGCGAACAGCAAAATTTCCTTTAAATAACAGATTAAACAACATCTCATGGAACAACGGGGACTGTGAGGGGACATACACAAACACACATTATTTTGTTGTATTTTTAAACGTTTTGTGGTTTGTATATGTTGTATTTTAAGTCCTTGTGTATCAGTGTTTTGTTACTTGTCATGTTTTGTGTTTTTTGTGGACCCCAGGAAGAGCAGCTGCTGCTTCTGCAAAAGCTATTGGGGATCCAAATAAACACATTTTAGTCATCTGTTGCAAAAGTTTTGCTACAGTGTGCCCTACTGAACACAACCCAGTTCATTGAGCACTAGCGCCTTAGCCCCACTGTAATCATTCTCAGGAGAAGCAAAGAGTTGGAATACAAAACTAAATATATTTCGCTCCGTTTGGTGAAGTGAAACCAAAGAGAATCGGAGTGATATTTAGTCTGAATTGCAGGTTAACAAAGAGCAACACTCAGATCAATAATAAAATATAATGTTGGACAGTGCTCCTAATACCAGAGAAAGCGTTCATGCGAGCAGGGTTGTTGACGGTGAGCACTGCGATGCCTGACTCCTGTTTGACAAGGTCTATAGACCCCCCCAGGGAAAGCTTGGAGTTTCTCTCTGATCTCCTTCTCCTGGAACCCATTGGCAGTGGTGTATACAGATCCACTCCTCCTGAGGAGCAGCTGCCCCCCCGGGCACCAATCCTACTGCCCCTAAGGAGGTGCTGACTGGCTGCAGACAGAACCATGGTGCTGCTACCAAGGGGAAAGTAGGAGAGAAGGAGGGAGGGAGGGAAACAAGAGGGAGAGAGAGAGGAACAAAAAGGAGAGGAGGGAGAGAGAGGGAGAGGAAGAGCAAGGGAGAGGAACAGAGAGGAGAGAGGAATCAACACTGTTATTGAACTGTAAAACAGTTGACCAGAGTTGGTGGCTAGGTCGTACGTGTGCAGCTACCAGTCCATATAGTCCTCTGTCTCTGTGCTAACTGAGGTAGACCGACACTAGCTCTGGTCCAAGCGCATGCGTCCGGTCGCCACTACGATATCTACATATGCGCATCTGACCCATGCGCGTGGATCAGCGACAAAGTTGATCAGAAGCAACTTGTTGTTGTTGTTGCGCGATGGGCAAGAGCTAGCTGACTAGCCAACTATGCTTTGGATGTCCTTCACAGTTCTATCCCTTTATAAACATGTTGATTCCTAAAAGCGTAGACTTTAACATCCCAAAGTACTGTCAAAAACGTGCCTAACATAACCAGATAATTAGGTTATATAACATAAGAAGCTAAATCAAAAAATCATTCACAAACCTGTGCTGTCTGAAAGCTCAATGTTGTGGTGTTACATTGAAACCTTTCCCCCCGGAAACATGAACATGGAACCTGTCCAGCTGCACTTCACTGTAACCGCCTCACGAGGGCAAGCTAATACTCCCATCATTCGGAAAGTTTGATCCTGTATAGTATTACCAAAGAGAATTGTGGCATACACTCATTTTTAGGTTCGCTGTACTGGCTAGTAATTATATAGGTCGTTTAAAACAAAAACGATTAAAACATGCTGTGCTATAACTTCACCACCTTTCCTCTCTACATGCTCCTGATATGACCACCTTTCCCCTCTACATGCTCCTGATATGACCACCTTTCCCCTCTACATGCTCCTGATATCACCACCTTTCCTCTCTACATGCTCCTGATATCACCACCTTTCCCCTCTACATGCTCCTGATATCACCACCTTTCCTCTCTACATGCTCCTGATATTACATTTTACATTTTACATTTTAGTCATTTAGCAGACGCTCTTATCCAGAGCGACTTACAGGAGCAATTAGGGTTAAGTGCCTTGCTCAAGGGCACATTTACGTCATTTAGCAGACGCTCTTATCCAGAGCGACTCACCAATTGGTGCGTTCACCCTATAGCCAGTGGGATAACCACTTTACAATTTTGGGGGGGGGGGGGGGGGGGGGGGTAGAAGGATTACTTTATCCTATCCCAGGTATTCCTTAAAGAGGTGGGGTTTCAAATGCCTCCGGAAGGTGGTGAGTGACTCCGCTGTCCTGGCGTCGTGAGGGAGCTTGTTCCACCATTGGGGTGCCAGAGCAGCGAACAGTTTTGACTGGGCTGAGCGGGAACTATGCTTCCGCAGAGGAAGGGGAGCCAGCAGGCCAGAGGTGGATGAACGCAATGCCCTCGTTTGGGTGTAGGGACTGATCAGAGCCCGAAGGTACAGAGGTGCCGTTCCCCTCACTGCTCCATAGGCAAGCACCATGGTCTTGTAGCGGATGCGAGCTTCAACTGGAAGCCAGTGGAGTGTGCGGAGGAGGGGGGGTGACGTGAGAGAACTTGGGAAGGTTGAACACCAGACGGGCTGCGGCATTCTGGATGAGTTGTAGGGGTTTAATGGCACAGGCAGGGAGGCCAGCCAACAGCGAGTTGCAGTAGTCCAGACGGGAGATGACAAGTGCCTGGATTAGGACCTGTGCCGCTTCCTGTGTAAGGCAGGGTCGTACTCTCCGAATGTTGTAGAGCATGAACCTGCAGGAGCGGGTCACCGCCTTGATGTTGGCGGAGAACGACAGGGTGTTGTCCAGGGTCACGCCTAGGCTCTTCGCACTCTGGGAGGAGGACACAGCGGAGTTGTCAACCGTGATGGCGAGATCATGGAACGGGCAGTCCTTCCCCGGGAGGAAGAGCAGCTCCGTCTTGCCAGGGTTCAGCTTGAGGTGGTGATCCGTCATCCATACTGATATGTCTGCCAGACATGCAGAGATGCGATTCGCCACCTGGTTATTAGAAGGGGGAAAGGAGAAGATTAGTTGTGTATCGTCAGCGTAGCAATGATAGGAGAGGCCATGTGAGGATATGACAGAGCCAAGTGACTTGGTGTATAGGGAGAAAAGGAGAGGGCCTAGGACTGAGCCCTGGGGGACACCAGTGGTGAGAGCACGTGGTGCGGAGACAGCTTCTCGCCACGCCACTTGGTAGGAGCGACCGGTCAGGTAGGACGCAATCCAGGAGTGAGCCGCGCCAGAGATGCCCAGCTCGGAGAGGGTGGAGAGGAGGATCTGATGGTTCACAGTATCAAAGGCAGCAGACAGGTCTAGAAGGACAAGAGCAGAGGAGAGAGAGTTAGCTTTAGCAGTGCGGAGAGCCTCCGTGACACAGAGAAGAGCAGTCTCAGTTGAATGACCAGTCCTGAAACCTGACTGGTTTGGATCAAGAAGGTCATTCTGAGAGAGATAGCAAGAGAGTTGGCTAAAGACGGCACGCTCAATAGTTTTGGAAAGAAAAGAAAGAAGGGATACTGGTCTGTAGTTGTTGACATCAGTGGGATCGAGTGTTGGTTTCTTGAGAAGGGGAGCAACTCTCGCTCTCTTGAAGACGGAAGGGACATGGCCAGCGGTCAAGGATGAGTTGATCAGCGAGGTGAGGTAGGGGAGAAGGTCACCGGAGATGGTCTGGAGAAGAGAGGAGGGGATGGGGTCAAGCGGGCAGGTTGTTGGGCGGCCTGCAGTCACAAGTCGCAGGATTTTATCTGGAGAGAGAGGGGAGAAAGAAGTCAAAGCATAGGGTAGGGCAGTGTGAGTAGGACCAGCAGTGTCATTAGACTTAACAAACGAGGATCGAATGTCGTCAACCTTCTTTTCAAAGTGGTTGACGAAGTCATCCACAGAGAGAGAGGAGGGGGGGGGCGGGGGGGGGGGGAGGATTCAGGAGGGAGGAAAATGTGGCAAAGAGCTTCCTAGGGTTAGAGGCAGATGCTTGGAATTTAGAGTGGTAGAAAGTGGCCTTAGCAGCAGAAACAGATGAAGAAAATGTAGAGAGGAGGGAGTGAAAAGATGCCAGGTCGGCAGGGAGTTTAGTTTTCTTCCATTTCCGCTCCGCTGCCCGGAGCTCTGTTCTGTGAGCTCGCAATGAGTCATCAAGCCACGGAGCTGGAGGGGAGGACCGAGCCGGCCGGGAGGATAGGGGACACAGAGAGTCAAAGGATGCAGAAAGGGAGGAGAGGAGGGTTGAGGAGGCAGAATCAGGAGATTGGAGGGAGAAGGATTGAGCAGAGGGAAGAGATGATAGGATGGAAGAGGAGAGAGTAGTGGGAGAGAGAGAGCGAAGGTTGCGGCGGCGCATTACCATCTGTGTAGGGGCAGAGTGAGTAGTGTGGGAGGAGAGCGAGAGAGAAAAGGAAACAAAGTAGTGGTCGGAGACATGGAGGGGAGTTGCAGTGAGATTAGTAGAAGAGCAGCATCTAGTAAAGATGAGGTCAAGCGTATTGCCTGCCTTGTGAGTAGGGGGGGACGGTGAGAGGGTGAGGTCAAAAGAGGAGAGAAGTGGAAAGAAGGAGGCAGAGAGAAATGAGTCAAATGTGGACATAGGGAGGTTGAAATCCCCCAAAACTGTGAGGGGTGAGCCATCCTCAGGAAAGGAACTTATCAAGGCGTCAAGCTCATTGATGAACTCTCCAAGGGAACCTGGAGGGCGATAGATGACAAGGATATTAAGCTTAAATGGGCTAGTGACTGTGACAGCATGGAATTCAAATGAGGAGATAGACAGATGGGTTAGGGGAAAAATTGAGAATGTCCACTTGGGAGAGATGAGGATTCCTGTGCCACCACCCCTCTGACCAGATGCTCTCGGGGTATGCGAGAACACATGGTCAGATGAGGAGAGAGCAGTAGGAGTAGCAGTGTTTTCAGTGGTAATCCATGTTTCCGTCAGCGCCAGGAAGTCGAGGGACTGGAGATTAGCATAGGCTGGGATGAAGTCAGCTTTGTTGGCAGCAGAACGGCAGTTCCAGAGGCTGCCTGAGACCTGGAACTCCAGGTGTGGGGTGCGTGCAGGGACCACCAGGTTAGAGAGGCAGCAGCCACGCGGTGTGGGGCGTTTGTGTAGCCTGTGCGGAGAGGAGAGAACAGGGATAGGCAGAGGCATAGTTGACAGGCTGCAACAGATGGCTACAATAATGCAGAGGAGATCGGGATGAAATGAACTGAACATCAGGGAAAGGAGAGAGCAGGCCTCCCTCACCAAAAAAATTAATAAATATATAACTCTCCCAACTTCCACCTCAGAAACTGTAATTGTTTCACTGAACCACCCGAATAAAACTCTCCCAACTTTCACTTTAGAAATTAGAATTGTTGTAAGCTACAGCAGACTGTTATCAGTAGCTGTAATTAAGTACAGCAGCTACCAACCACCTAACGTTAATGCCTCGGATGAGGTTAGAAAAACAGCTGAATGGTAGCAGCTAGCTGGCTCAATCACAGGTACTCTCAAGCATGAAATAACATTGGAAACAGCTAACCACCGTTGCTAAAAGTTACCGATAGCTACCCTCTAGCTAGCTAGCTTTGTTGGTCCAGGTAGTGGGTAAGCTAGCCTCGTGCTTCGCCTGGGCTCCGCCGAATAAAAATCCTTACCTACAATAATTACCTACAATAATAACCTACAATAACTACCGGAGTAAGCTACCTATAATACCAAACTACAATACCTACCTACAATCTAAATACATGGTTTAAGCTTAACTCAACACCATATAAGAAGCCAAGCTTACCTTTCATAACGCAGCAATGATTAAACGTTGGGTAACTAGCACAAAGATATTGTATTTAGCTACCACAGCCTGCTGGTAGTGTTGGCTAGCTAGCAATGGCTACTGTGTTGACTTTGTTTGAAAAACGGCGTCGCTGTGAGCGAATGTAGCTGGCTAAAAGGATATTGTTTTTAGTTGCTACCGTTGCTAATAGCAACTCGCCAGCTAATCCAGGAGGTGAGTTAGCGAGCTAGCTTCGTGCTACATCCGGCACCGCCGAATACAAAAGTAACCTACAATAACTACACAACAGCTACCCGCAACAGCCCACGATGCCTACCTATACTACTTAATAATATACAGCCCACGATGCCTACCTATAGTACCTAACTACAATCTAAATACATAGTTTAAGCCTTACTCGACAAAGCCCAAGCTATGTATAAAGCCAAACTGGCAGACTGCAATCAGTAGCCGAAATTAGGTACAGCAGCTACCGACCACCTAACGTTAATGATCGATATCACCACCTTTCCTCTCTATATGCTCCTGATATGACCACCTTTCCTCTCTACATGCTCCTGATATGACCACCTTTCCTCTCTACATGCTCCTGATATGACCACCTTTCCTCTCTACATGCTCCTGATATCACCACCTTTCCCCTCTACATGCTCCTGTTGACCTCTTCCCTCTATGACCACCTTTCCTCTCTGCTCCTATATGACCCTTTCCTCTCTACCTCCTGATATGACCACCTTTCCTCTCTACATGCTCCTATATGACCCTTCCATATGCACCACCTTCCCTTCAGCTCTCTACACT